GATATCTTGGAAAGCCAAGAAACAGACAACCATCTCTCGGAGCAGCACGGAAGCTGAGTATCGCTCCCTTGCCAACGCAACGTGTGAGTTAGTCTGGCTGACCAACCTGTTAGGAGATCTTCACATCTCATTGACGGGCCCAGCGAAACTGTTTTGTGACAATCGCTCTGCAATTCACATCGCAACGAACCCAGTTTTTCACGAACGGACTAAACACATCGAGATCGATTGTCACCTCGTTCGTGATAAACTAAAGGCTGGTTTTTTGAAGCTAATGCATGTCCATGCACCGAACCAACTCGCAGACTTGTTTACCAAAGCTTTGCATCCTGCTTTATTCTCCAGTCTGCTGTCCCGAATGAACATATCAAGTCTGTTTCTCCCGGCTCAGCCTTGAGGAGGGGGTATTACAGATACAATTTTGATCGAGATAGATTAAGAAGGGATTAATACTAATCCCAATATCTGTTAGGATTAGTTATTTGTTCTCTCTCCTGGTTGTTACGTTTTCTGTTTCATTGCCCTGTATAAATGTACGTGTAAACCCAATTTGTAAATTCATTCAGAAAATTCCAGAAACTTCATCTTCTCCATTTGCAGTTTTCTCTCTGCTAAAAAAGTGATTTAGGTTTTTACCCATCCCGTCCATGGAGATGGATGTAGTACTCGATATTTTTCATAAATTAAGCAATTATTTGTGTACATCTACGTATGCCTATACCTCGAGATCGTATAAATCGGTTTTCATACATATACAATATATATACACACATATACATGTGTGTGAATCTCGTATATGTGCACAAAATCCATAAATACGACATCATTTTTTAAAAAAAATAATTTTTTCCTACGCGAATTTAATCAAACGTAACTTTTATATATATATATATCTTTAATTTTATAAAAATTTATATGTAAATTCAAAATTTTTTAATTATCTATACAAATTATTAAAATTAACAATAATACATATATAATCATTATTTTTGTTAAAATTTTTTGAATTATGATAACTAATATATTAATTAGATAATTACTGTAACTACCATACACGTGGGCACATTAATTAGATAATTAAGATACAAAATATTGAATCGATATATACGCGCTGATACGAATTATTTGTCCGTTCTGAACATTTCTAAAGAATCTGTGGGTTTTGTAATAGAATGTGAGGCATGTATGCTATGGTTGCATCAAGTGGATACACGCACTTATTGCCTCGCATCGACATACATGTGTGTGTATTATATAATAATTTGTACAAAATATCTCACTCGATCGACATCATTATGTCAGGAGTTTGTAACGATATTTTTTTTTTATAATCTATAACGACAAGATTATATTAGGAGGCATAGTGCTTCTGTTGGATCTTGCTTTCACTATGAGTGTTAAAAGAAACATTGGATGGTTTCTAAGTTAAGAAAAAAGCACTCCATCATTTTGCACATTTTCGCAGCACGAAATTAGGGTTTGAATGATCAATGATAATATATATATATATATAATCTTTCAAACCTGTTATTTATCAAATTAAAATTTGTATATATATATATATATAATAATAATAATAATAATAATAATAAAAGAATGATAAGAGTACAAACTAAAGAAGGGACCATATGTGGTTTATTTTAGAGTAAATTGATGGATTTAATAAATCTCTCATGTGGTTCATATTTATATGTATTACGGATATAGTGGAGGAGTTATATATTCGTAAATAATATAGTAATAATAATAATAATAAAAGAATGATAAGAGTACAAACGAAAGAAGAGGACCATGTGTAGTTTATTTTAGAGTAAATTGATAGATTTAATAAATCTCTTATGTGGTTCATATTTATATGTATTACGGATATGGTTGAGTAGTTATATATTCGTAAATAATATAGTATGAATTGATAAAGTATATACATGTATTTTGTAAAGTATATACTTGTGTTTAGAGGTGAAATTTAAGTGCAGAAATTCTGCACAGGCATGTAATATGGGCGTGTTAATTCTGCACGGGCTGTAACACGGGTGTGTTAATTCCAACACGGGCAGTGTTAGATTTAACACGGGTTGTGTCAAATGTAACACGGGTGTGTTAATTACATTACGACCGTGTTAGGTGCAGTATGGATCGTGTCAATTCTCTAAGAGAGTGTTAATTTTGCACAGACAATTGACACGGGACACGGTCATGTTAAATGTCTGGAACATGAAAAAATACGGCTTTTCGCATGAAAACTACTAAATGGATACAATTTTAATTTTGATGATGTCTCTCGTGGTTTTAAAAACTAGAAATGTCAGAGAATGTGAAACATACGAAATCTAATTGATTTTGAGAGATTTTTTAGTTTTGTTGGTAAAGAAACTTGCTACTTCTTCTCCATCTTTTACTGTTCATTTTTTTTCTTGGGTTTTTCTGTTTCGGACAACGTTGAGGAGCAAATCAATCGTTGCTGATCTTCTTTGTATCTCTAAACGTATTTTCGGGTTTCTCCTTTGTTCGGTGGGGAGGGAATAACGTTTTAGAAAAGTGTTCTACACGCCTAGAAGATTATATCCGGGTTCTTACATTTTTATTTTGATTTCATTGATTTTGTTGTTCTTTCCCGCTGTATCCGGACCCATCTTTTTTTTTCTAACACCATGTCCAATAGGACTAATGAATGAGCTCAACCAATGATATTTAATGTTACGGTTACCAACTTTGTTTGAGAATTCAAACACGACGACGTATGAAATCTCAAAATGTTCACTTGGCTATAACATTTGAAAATTAATATTCTTAAATGCAATTGTGTATTAATGAACGGCCCGTGATTTAACAATGTAATTATTAAATTAATATTCTTAAATACATTATTTTCCAGTGATCAATGTTCACTCCAACACCTTTAAAAAATTCAAAACTTGGTGGGTTGTTTTTTAGCGCATTTATTTTTTGGATAAGAAAAAAGGAAACATAATTCAAATGGACCGCACTGTCTTCTATTTGTTTTTTTCCCCTTTTAGCTTCTAGAAGGATATTATTGTGATTCTCATTACTACATTTTTTATTTTCTTTTTGCAGAAAATTATAAAATTTCCAAAAATCTTATCGATTAGATTATTCATCCCCGACAAATTCCATGCCAGAGACAAAGATATACAGGTCGACGAACGTGGTTTTACTTTCAACGTCTCGTGGGCCCACTTTTTTGTCAGAATGGGACCCATAGTAATTCCAGGTGACGTGGAATATTTTTGTACTATATTCGTGCATGTTAACATATTTAATCACCATCGTTATTCAAGACTTAATTTTCAATGTAAATTAAGATGCCTCAAATTTTGAATAAGTTTTATGTCAAAATAAATATGAATGTTCCCTTGAAAATCAATTTTCTCGATAACATGGTCCTGAAATTAATAACCATGGAAAAAAACAAAAAACTAAATTATGCAATTAATGAATATTCACAAAAAACTAAATTATGCAATTAATGAATATTCACTTTTATTTTGTTTTTGCCAATTTTATTCATAAAATATAGATAGGCGTTTGGAGGTTGTAGAATGGTAGAAAATATTTTCCTTGCTTCACGGATGTTAATGTGAAAACATATACACATAAGAAGTGAAGTCTCTTTTTCCTATCGTAAAAAAGTAGAATCCTTTATTATACATGTTTTGATTTAAAAAAAAAAACTTTATATTTGAAATTTTTATTAACAATGACAACAAAAACGAGTATAAAATACCCCACACGAATATTTAATGCAAATGGAAAACTATCTTTCTTATGATAATATTATTTTATGTATTCTCCAATGTTTTAGGCCAATAAAGTGGTTGGACAGAAATAAAAAAGAACATGATCTTGCGGGAATTAGATAGCTTATTAAAAAAAATCAAACAAAACCAAGAAAATTGATTTAATATAGATTGGTTGACTAGATTGATAAAAGATAGAATAAATATCTTTTCTAACCTAGATTCAAATCTCCATTTGGCAAAGAGCATTCATATAAATTTTGTGGATCCTCGAAAAGATGTAGTTGAGACGAAACCGGATAAAATTTTAAATTACTAAAAAAAACTATACAGCGAAATAATCTATTTTCATCCCCCATTCAATGGAACAAACAATGCTGTTTTAGGTATATAATATTGTTTTATAATATAGTATTTGATTAATGGAAGGAAAGGGCAAATCATGGTGTGTGTTTTTGCCTCGTAAAGAAATCAAGTTTTTGTCCAATGGGCGAAATCAAAGGGGATGATAATATAACCACAGTTTCTAGAACATGGCATTTTTTGAAAGAAGAATGATAATGACATCATCTTTGTCCCTTTTGACTTCCATCAAATTTAGTGGTACTGCTTATCCCTCCAAATTGGTTCACAACTCCACCCACAATATAGACATACATACATATATACATATGTGTATATATTTTCAAAAAAATATCAGCATCCGTTTTTTTTTCTAAATTGGAGAGAGCGATTGGAGATGGGTGTTTGATCATTGAGACATTTGCAAGGTTAATAAATAGAGTGAACCCATAATAATAACATACAATTATTTTACCCACATGTCTGTGGTTGACTGTATGTTCAAAGGTTGCTTCCGGATCCAGGGATATGTAGGTTGGGTCAAAGGTCCAGATGAACTTCTTGGTTTGACCAAAAAACAATAATAATATTTTTTATAATATGAAAATTTATCGGATTTTTGACCGACTACATATATTAGAAACCATGTAAATATTTTTCCTCAAATGAAGACTCGAATCCGGAATAAAAAAAAAACTTTGTTCCCTTTTATACCCCATTTTGGATATTATAATAATAATAAGGTTGTAGAACATATTTAATTCCATGTCTAATTTCATGATTCCATCTAGGGCATTATGGCGCACAACCGTTTTAATATAATGCTATATAAAGGATAATTCTCTTAAAAAGTAAAAATGTTTGATATATATATATATGTGTGTATATATCAGGTTCACATGTCTAAACCATCTATCATATAGATATCACACTGCAATAATACACAGTAGTAATTTTTCCCCAAAAGAAAAACGAGTGGATCCTACGCGGCACGATCTGTGGCGTAGATTGCTCGTAAAGCGGCGCATAATAGCAATCCGTCTATCGGCCTTGTAATTAGCAATTAATGAGACACTAAGCTGATTAATTAGCAAACTAATCCCACTATTTACATCTGATTACTCAAAAATAACAACCCGCTACCAGCACTGATCGGTTTCCCAGTTTCTCCCGCCGTAACTGCCGAATCCGGAGATCCCGGAGGAGGTCAACGGCCGACTCCGCCGCAGGATCCGACGGTCATAAACGGCTCGTTTCTCTGGATCCGAGAGCGTACAATAAGCCGCGTGGATCCTTATGAACTCGTCGGCCGACGAGTTTTTCCGATCGATACCGGCGACGTCAGGGTGACAGATCCGGGCCAATCTCCGGTAAGCCGTCTTGATCTCCTGGCTCGTGGCACCGATCGGGACTTCCAGGATCTCGTACAGAGACGCGCTAGGAGACACGCGCCGCCGCAGCATCGGAGGATCCTCGGCGCAGGTGTAGGAGCAGGAGGCGGCGGTGGCGGAGAGAGGTGGAGGGATCCTGGCGCGAGGAGACGGAGAAGTGGGGGAGAGAGGGGGGGAAGGGGAGAGGAAGGGAGGAGAGAAGGAGGAAGGGGAAGAAGAGAGCATCTTGCACGTCGTCGTCTGTTGGATGCGTGAGAGGGCAGGGTGACTGGAGGGGGACGGAGGAGGGGCTTATTTATAGGCGAGAGTTGGATTAGCGCTTTTAATTACTTCAACTAATTATTTGATTAAATCGAGTGTAAAGTGATCGGGGATATATAAATAATAATGAACGAATCTAAAAAATATGAAAATTGATTTTTAAATAATACTAACATTTATAGCAAATTTACTCACAATCCATTGAATCCAAGGATACCCATTTAGATTATAATTTAAAAAGAAAATTAAAAAAAAAGGTGAGGATAAGAAAAGTCGGGATGGGGGAGATGAGTCAGCAGAAGGGCTTATCCAATATCCAGTTAACAGGAAAATTATTGAAGCGATAAGAATGGACGGTCGGATTTGCCAAATGAAACTGTAACTTTCACAACGAAATTAAAATCTAAATTTCAATAAAATCAGATAGGCAGACCAAACACAATCCTTACATATTATTTGATAATTTCGGAATGGGATGCAAATCTAAGTTTACACGATCCATGCTTTTTCAAAAAAGTGTTTCTTTTTTTTTTATTACAAAAAGTTAGATCAATGTGCGACTTTACTTATCGAGTTTGAGAAGATGACTCGGACTCACTTATTATGACTCGGACTCACTTATTATCATCTTCTAGCCGAACACTCAACACACGAATCATATATTATACGCTTATTCCATATTGGTCTGTATATATATATATATATATATATATATATATATACGTACGCATTTATACAATAAATTTATTCATAGCAGATGACAAGTTGCGAAGACAAATTGGCAATTCAATGATATCAGCAGATGGTGTCGGTATTGGATTTACAATATCTAATAAAAAAAACATCATTAGTATTTTAATTGCTATTCTTGTGACGAGAATGTGGTTACAGATGTCATTCATCACAAAGAACAGTCCAGTCGCAATTTAAAACAAATCGTGAAAATCCCATCACCCCATGATCTCATTACGCATATGGTAACATTTTAAAATATGGTTTAGATAACGTTGCTGCTGTATGATTATAAGAAGAAAAGAGACGGATGGACCGCTGTCAATTTTATATCGTGATGCAAAAGTTACCGCTACTATTACGTGGGTGCCACGTTCCCAATTGCTCAAGTGTTACATTTAATAAAATATAAAATGCATGTGGATACGTATCTGCGTATATTTTTATATAAAATATATATATATATACCATTAACAACATTATCTTTTGTGTCTCTCATATTTTGTTCAAGCAATTTGTGACAGTGAAATCGTGAAAATTCCATTCACTGCGCCACCAAAACTAGATTATAATAGAGAAATTGGGGTCTTGTAGGAGGACGACCATGTTAAAAATCGTGAAAACCGAATATTCGTCTACCTTCATATTCGGATTCGGGTTTCGGCCGAAAATTTTCGCTGGTTTTGCGGATACCCGAGCCGGAAGAGGAAAAGAGGTGGGGTGGAAACCGCGGATATCCAAAGCTCGGATACTTGACACCATGACCGAGTAGTCCAATGGAAAAACCCGAGCCTATGAAACTGAGGACGTTCCGAAAGACTCGGTATCCGACCGGTACTCACCCCTAGGTTCTGGGCAGTCGTTAGATTTAGACAACATCAGCTTATAAGCCTAAGGGATTAGATAGGAACCCGGACAGGATATTATGCATAACAAATCTTTGGCATCATATTAGCCTAACAATTGGTACAACCAAGAATCTGAACCACTCGACCACCCATCTTGTCTCATCAGGTAAAGGTAGGTAATAACCCCTTCTAGCTAATCAAGATTCAGATTCTTACCCAAAAACGTGCTCTAAGCTGCAGAGATTTCAAGTATGTCGTCTAAATTCGGATCTCAGACGTGTCTACTGCAACCCCAAGAATACAGAGCTCATAGTTGTTATCCCCTAAAACGACGAGCGGGAAAAAGACTGATTTTTGGAAACGAGATATTAAACTTATACCGGGAATAGGGAAGAGCATGATCCGTACCCGTGAAGCTGGTTTTATTTCTCCCTGAATTTTGACGAAGCCCATTTGAAGTAGCCACAGTTAGCTTCTGGATTAGATGAAGGCCCCTGCAGGAAAAACATAATTCAGAGATCCTTTTTTTTTTGTTCCAGTTCTTGTCTGATCGATATCCAATGGGTTCGCATGATTAGAGCAAGAACCAATACCTCGGCTCGAGCACATACATAGAATCTCCGACCAAAAGTGGGACCTGGTTTTTTCACTACACGGGCCACACACTGTTCCTTATGGCCCTTGCAGAGAGGTATGCTGTTCTGCATTAGGTTCTGTATCCTTTGCCACTCCTGTAAAGCGGCATTGTTCTTGTTTTTTTCTGAAGACCCGCCTTCCCGTTCATCTGTTGAAGGACCCGATTGATCTCGATTGCTTCTTTGTTCACCGTCTTCCGAGATATTATCAGCTCGGAAGCTCTGATCAGAATTCAAGATGTCTGCTTGAACAGAACAAACGTCTCGAGCATCGGTTACTTTTGAGCTTGAGGCGAAGAACGACTTAAGAGAGAGTTGACATGATTGGCTTTTCCTCGCCCTTTTCCGATTTCTACCACTGCTGCAACAAACATTTTCAGTTCTCTCATACCGACAGATTCCGCCATGGAGGCCATCAGTGTCCCCTCTGGAATCTTGATCTGCTCCTTTAATGCCACAAGCAGTGGATTCACTCTCTAGAGAAGAACAAGGTTCACTTGAAGATGAGCATAGAACTTCTGTGGTGTTGACTTGTTTATTGGCCTGCCTTTTCATAAATACTGACACTGAGAAAGGGAAAAAAAAAAGAGTGAAAAAACAGTAAATGCTTAGATAACAACACAGGAAGACAGCAATAGATGAGTTTCGAAGGGCGAAATGACAGCAGAAATAAGGAAAACGTCTCGTACCAAGAGTTTGCTGGAAACCGTAAATAACGGGTAGATATCTCGATGCTAAGGACGGGGTGCTATGTTGGGGGGTGTCGGGGAGATCATCAAAAGTAGTGAATACAGGAACATGGTCTGATCCTTCTAACTTCATGCCCCCTCCTCCTTTCCATCTGTAAGTGCAAGCGAGTTGAGTTCACGTAAGCATTCAGAGACAAAACACAGAGAAAAACATAACACTAGCCAACTATAGTCTCTAAGACGAAACAAGAACGGCAACAATAGCATGTCCTTGAGAGAGAAAGCCTTACTTACCTTTTTGGCGCATCTCCATCATGCTTCAGCCGCTTATACTGTGTCAATATATTGCATTCCTCCACATGACAGGCAAGAAAGCTATGGCCTTGCTCATCTTTCTCTTGATGTAAACATGACCCAGCAACTAAGATATGATCGATTCTTGACCCGTAATTAAATTGTTCTGCTCCAGTACTTGTAGACCAACATGTGTATGCATCTCTCCTGACACGAGTTAAGAAAAAACACATGCGATTGATAAAAGAAAAGTTCAATGGCCAGGTAACTGAATGACTATAACCAAAATACGTTACCTGTCAGGATGTCTTGTCCGGAAAACATCAGAGAACGGGCCTCCACAATCAACCAGCAAAGATCTAAACCACTTCCTGAGCCTACAATTTCAATGACATGGAAAAGAAAGATATAATCAGAATGACTGAGCGAAGCAAGATGCTCTGAGCAAATCACGAGTATCAGTATCAGTATCTACACACTCGTTTTTCTCAAAATCGGGTCCAGCATCACACCGATCTATTGCAAATGGAGCAATATTGAGGTCGCCGACAACAACTACCCTTCTTCCTTGATGCAGAAGACACTTCCATCTTCTCTACAAGAAAAACTTACAAACAGTTAACCGAAAAGACTATCGATAGAGGCAACTCATCATCACATTCAGATAAGACTTACCTCTAAGATACTGAAGAACTTTTGCTTGAACTCGATCCTCTCAGTATCATCAGCTCCAGCCCGAGGCCCATATATATTGAAGACAACTAACAAAACCAACAGACATTAAGTGGTATAGGTGCTCTAAAATGGCATATACAACGAGAACAATATCACATTATTAATCCCAGAGAATTAACTTCCAAAAACATAGGTGAAGATCAATGCTTTTGCCATACCGAAATGACCGTGATCAGTTGTAACGCACCGTCCCTCGCTGTCCACCTTAAGAAGCTCATGTTTCTCAAACTCTAAGAGCCCTTCAGCAGCTTTCGACGTTTCATTCCTCCCACCGCTTGTGTTATTGTTCACAAGACCAGTGAAGCCTTCTTCTGCTGCAACTGGCAAAGCAACCTCGCAGCTCGAAAATGCCGACTTTACCCGGCAAAACGTTGCAACACCTGACAATTCAACATCGTTAAGGCTTCAACTCTCTCTCTCTTTCCAAATTCACTGAAAAAAGCTCGAAACTTTTCTCTAGGGTTTGCCGCTTGCATTTAATCGGTGGTCGGGAAACAGCTTATTTGCTCACCAGAATAACCAGTGCGACCTCTCTCGCAAGTACGAGTGCAGGAAAAAAAGGATTCATAACCATCAGCCATTGCCAAATCCGCTGTTAGTTCTTGCCTTCTCAGCTTCGTCTCCTGAATTTGGAAAAAGCATGATCATTACGAATTCATCGGGAATTACAAGCAAAACCCACAACCAAATCTCAGAAAAAGAGTGAGAATCCGAAATCTACGAACCTGGAAGCAGATGATGTCGGCATCGAACGAGTCAAGGAGCTTGAGGAGAGAACCAAACTGCGAAACCCGCTGCCTGAGCCCATTAACGTTGTAAGTCACCAACTTCATCCTCTCCCTAACCGGATTACGCCCACCTTACTCCGCCCCTCCCGCCGGATTTTCCCGCCGGTGAGTCACTCTCCGCGAATTCCACGATCGGCCACCGCGAGAGTTGCGAACTGTAAAAAGACAGAGTCGAACGAACAACCCCAATAGCTCAACGACGGCGTTTTGTCTGGCCAGTGACGTGGACGGTTAGGATCTAAACACAAAAAACGTCTTCATTATCTACGGTCTAAAATGCTTGGACCGGCAAGTACATGAATCATTAGTATTTTACTGAACAGCTCCATATATATTGGGCTTTCACATAAACGTCGGCCCAAATTACAATCATCTGGGTTCAGATAATGGCATGTACTAATACGGATGTAAAGATTTTACACGTATGTATTTACTCTTTTTATACGTAAAAAAAAGCAAGAGGCATTGATCATTCGGTTCAAATTAATACAAAAAAATATATATTACAAAACGAAACTGATATAATCCAAAACGATGAACTATCATACCGTAATTTTCTCTCCGAGACTACATGCATCTACGTATATACGCGAGTGTCAAATACGTATAATCGTAAACCATGCATCGTGGACCGACATATATAGTCCTAACCAACAACTGATTCGAAATAAATAATTATATTCAATAGTGGAGGAGGTCAAAGCCCAAATAGAAAAATATCAAGAGAGGAGGAATGTCGTTGTCAGGTCGGTAACACAAACCAACGAACATAACCAAACCATAATATATATGTCAACTTCAGTTAACCAAAGTCAAGTGTAGTGAACGCGACGAAACTAAATGATTAACCCTTCAAAAAAATTATAATTAAATATATTATATATACCGATTTAAATCAAGTTCAGATGTATATATATGAAATCTATACACTTTAATCGGAGAACTAAAGGTGTAGAAAGAATGGAGAGGGACGCCGGAGAAAGCCGGAGAATAGCGGTAGGTGGCCGGGCGGAGATAGACACGAGAGCGCCGTTCCGGTCGGTGAGGGAAGCCGTGGCATTGTTCGGCGAGAAAGTTTTGGCCGGAGAAATCTACGCTAACAAATTCCAGGAGGTAAACTAATTACTGGTCTCCACTTTGATTTTGATAATCTGGTTATAAAAAATTTACTTATGACAATCGTTATTTTGTTAATATTACAATGTAAAAATCACATGGTATAGTGATTATTTATATCTCCGGCTAGAAATCAGACGCACCAAGTATTAGCTTAAGCTAAATTAAAAACGGATTTACACTCTAATATGAAGTTATGCATTATTATACAAAATGTATGAATATTAACAATCATATTATGAAGACAATATATATAACTTAGATTAGGAATTAGAAAATATTCCTGTAAAATACAACTCATGTATCCATTAGAAACACTAACCACGAAACCACCAATTATTAAAATCTAATAACTTACGTAGATTAATTTCGCATTCTCGTGATATAGTTGATACATAAGTTTTGTTTGGGTCCGTTATAGACCGCTACATCAAATAAATTTACATGTTAGGTAACGTAACGTAACGACAGTGATATACTTTACATTAGTTGCAACGCGTACATGGTGGAGTTCAAGCTTCTGGTCCAAATTAAAGGCGTTTTATTATGGTTCAGTGGACAATTTCAGTACATGGGTCCCTGAATATATATACATATGTACACGTATAATTATAGATAACTCGGGCGTACGGCGTTTCTTGTGTGCAAAAATGTGTAAAATTCATGAATGCTTTGGCCCCATCTCGTGTACTTGGCTTTTATGTTCAAGGCGACAAATCAAATATTTTCAAACACGTCTGTTAGATCAGCATGTCTCCTCTGGCTCATGCTGGTATGTGAGAATACGTACAGTACTTCCTACATATGCACGTGTATATATATATACACACATATATATAACCTGCATGGTTTGCAATATGCACATATATTTGTATGCATGTACGTTCATGTCTCCTCTGAATCTAGTTTGAACATACATGTGTACTTATAACACCTGTGACAAAAAAAAATCAAGTTAGTGTAATTAATATGTTTTTTTTTTAAATATGTGCATATATTTGATCCAACTAATCATCATGTCTGAAATATCATATACGTGTATACATGCATATACGTACAATACATACAATATATTAAGCTATAACGTGTGGAATGAGAAATAATTATTACGGAAAACACAAATTACATCCCATTTGAAATTTGATCCGATCTTTCAAGCATGTCATGTCGTTGTTATGGAATGAACTTCTCGCGACAAAATCTATCTTTTAGTGTTTATATATATATAAAGTACATTTATTTTACCAAATCGGCTGATAAGAGTTATAAAAAAAATTAATCGGCTGATAAGCATGCACATGCACACGTTCGTCGATCGATACAGGTGCGTACAGACGTAGCGATCGCGAGCCCTAGCCCTCGATCAAGAATACAAGCCCTGGCAACCGATCTCGAGCAGACAAAACAAACTCTTGCAAAAACCCTAGAACAAAACTCAGTCTTGTCACATCGAATCAAAGCCCTAACACAAGAACTCGAACAAGCCCGTAAAGAGATCCAACTGCTGAAAGCGGACAAGAAAAGCCGCGTAGACAATCCGGACATCGAGGAGATCAAGTTCGTGGAACAGCATCAAGTAGTGACGAGTACAGGGGAATACAACAAAGCAATTGATCGAGAAGATCATGAGATAGTTGAGGAGTTCGAGAAGAGGAGGCTCGTGAAATTCGCGAGTCCGCCCAGACTCACTCGTGTGATGTCGAGCGTCGAGGAGGCAAAGGATAACAAGAAGAATGATCTAGAAAGACCTCCTTCGGTTAAGAAGACGAAAAAGAAGGGTTTTGTTCCATTCATGGTGCGATTTTTCTCTAAGAAGAAAGAAGACAGTGAAGAAGATAGCCAGTCTCCGGAACACGTGCAGTGATCATGTAAATGGATGATGATCTTTTGATCATTTATGAGATGGTTGCATAAATTTCATGTATGCATTGAAGTTTGTAAAAGGTTTTGATCGCAATATTGTCTTGTACGGTGGAGAAGAAGAAATAAAATCTCGATGAAGCAATTGAGTTCAATAGCCATTCTTTTCAAACAAAGTTTTGTGAAAATTAGATATTAATAATATAATTGATTGAAAAAAAAACTCAGAAAGAGATATACAGTTCAGATTCTTGATTTGCAGGATATATTTAAGATATTACATGCTGTTGACTATAGATGTTGATCAATTTTTTTGTAATAATATGTAAGAAATTATTTGTCTATATATACAATATATATATATATATATATACCAAATGTTTTGAGATCACACACGGACCAAATACAAACATTTTAATATTATAAAACTTGTTATTCTTCACAACACGATCGAACAACTCCTGATTTGATTCGCAGGTAAATAAAATGCAAAAAAATGAAGAATGTTGCAAGAATGGCGAAAAAGAATATTCTTATTTAGAAAAAAAAAACAAATATATATCCCATACCCTTCGTTGTTGACATTATTGTGCAATATTTTGATTGGTTTTTTTGGGGGGTCAAATTTCACAATTAAATAAACTAACATCTTGAAATATGAAATGAACTTTATTTTATATAAAATAACGTCATATGCAATAATTTTATTTTTCGCTAAACCTATGTATAAAAACATCAAGTACCCGATTCGAGTTCATTCAATTCAATTAACTTAGTGATTATTCAAATTATTTGAAAACATGTATACCTTCCAAGATTCCAACACTTTAATGTGCATATTGAAATAGTAACTCTCAAACTCATGTTTTCAAAATATTAACGCGCAGTAGATTAAAGAAAAGTAATTGTTGGAAATTTACACACGCACACACACACATATATATACACACTATATATAGCGCTTATAATAATTAAGGTTTTATAATTTGAAACTTTTTGCGTATACATTTGTGTCTAAAACTAAAAGAAGGGAAAACAAAACACAAAATAAATGTAAAAACTAATAAAAAACATATATATATATATATATATATAAAGAGTAAATAGACCGAACTGAAGGAACGAGGCCATAGCGAAACTTTCACAGAAAAGGAATAAAAAGAGCAAAAGAGGATGATGCAATCACTCCTTTCTTCTCCTGGAAATAACGTACTTTGAACCCTCTAAAGCATCCAAAGATCTTCTCGGATCCGCACAAGCCCATATACATTAATTACTATATAACTCTCTGCCTACATTTATTAATTTTCATATTATAATTACATTCTTGATCACTCTTAGCTCATGTAATAAATATATACATGTATGTATATGTATATATGCGTGCAAGCGCATGTGTCAAGTGTGTGACCACATGCATGAATAGAACACAAGTTATGTTAATACGCATAACTAAAGAGCTATGGTTTCCACATCCGACAATTAGTTGTCTTTCGTTTTCGTCTCATCAGGCTGTCTTCAGTAGCCTTAATTAATTAAAAAGTTTCATTTTAGTCCACAAGAAAAAAAAAAATACAATATATATATATATATATATATATATGTGAGAGGGAAGTGGGATTTTGTAAAAAGGCTACGTACGAAATCGCATCAGTTTGAGATCTTGTCGATGTAGACTTGCGTTCTTGAGTTGGTTTGGTTTTCTTGTCTTTAAATGGCTCTCTCATGTGTACAAGTAACTAAAATGAATAAATAATAATCAACTCCTATACTATCTTTTCTTTTCTTTTCTTTGGTTTGATTTTTTTGACTTAATGTCTATTTTGTTTTTCTCACGCGCATTTTAAAAAATGAAAAATATAAGTTATATGCATGGTTGCAATCGATACAAGGGGGTTAACGTGATTATATATATAAGATGGATGTTTCAAAGTTTTAGTTTTGGAAAAAAAAAAGTTTTTGGAAAAAAAAATGTGTTCACATTCGGTTTTGGTTAAGAAAAATAGCATTATCTCTTCTCTTCAATAATTTTTTAAAATTATTCAAGATCTAATAATTTGTTTTGAAAGATACCACATCAAATAGTTTTTTTAGATCTATTCCGTGTAAAATAAAAATTCTACATTATTTAGTTCAATTCGGTATGATTTTATGTACTCGGATCGAAATAGTCGTACGCCTAAATATAAGATTTTTTTTGGTAATCAGGTATCTTGAGACGAACCCCAAACTAATTTTGGAATCGAGAGCAAGCCATTTGATTGGAATTATGCTTCCCTCTCCCAACTTGAGATTCGAATTCAGGATAAAACTGACGTTTTGCATTCTCACTTCACCGTTTGGACTATCCAAGTTAGTATATGAGATTCTTTATTTAGTATGTGGATCAAACATTGATTTAGAAAAAAAAATATTTATACATACACTATTGAATTGGAATGAGATTCTCAAAGCAAAGTTAATCGACGTAGCAGTTTGCACCGTTTATCCATCTACCCAAAATGATATTGTATCCACCACGATAACTCATTTCATGTCCAAAAGTATAAGATTCGATAGGTATTCTATAACGAGTGATGATATTTTGTACGTAAAGTCGATGTTTTATTATAATAAACCGACCACTTAAACTCTATCGGTTACGAGCTTCAACATATTTTCCCACGAGATTTACATTACAACCTGTTATATAAAAAATAATTTATAATACTAATAATAATAATTCTAAATACGAAAAGGAGAAGGAGTATCATATAATAATAAGGTGGTGGATTATTATTAAAATATATATTCGTCGAGGAGCATATAACGAGGCGGGTGCAGCAAAAAATGCATAAAGTTTTCAATGTCACAATAATTAGCGTTGTTTACGAAGTGGTAAGGGTTCAAACTACAAAATATATACCCTCCTTTCGAAAAATGGCTGCCACCTAACTGCCACATTCTTTTGTTTTCCCATATATCACTGTATACTTTTACATTCATTTCATCTATCTATCTATCTATATCTACATGTATATGTGTAAGAGTGGACCGATCGACTATATAAAAATATATCATTTCAGCAGGAAAAACGGATCCAGTTATTTTTGGCCCGATTAAATCGATTTCAAAGGGAAAAAAAAAATAAAAAAAAAAAAAAAAATCTTCGTCGCATGTCATTTTTGTTGCCCGCGGCTCGAGGAGGGTCCTCTGGGAAATCTCTGTAGAGAAGGAAATCTTTGTCACGCGCTTCTTGCTCGCGTTAGCCGTAACCGTCCCACCATGAGGACATAAACCCTAAACCTAGCTTGACCGAAATCTAATTTTAATTTAATCATGACAAAATAGCATAGTTAATTGTTGTTATTGACTTATTAATGACTCCACGCTTCTTAAACTGTATGTTCTTAAACATCTTAATTTTTAATCCACCTTGTTTAAATATATACACCATTTCATCATATGAATTTCGGACCAATTGATTATGGATTGACATATATAGTTCTCAACTGTAAAAGTAATATTTACAAAGATACGGATCGTATTTTATTTTCATGAAAGTTTAAACTTATTTGCAATATACTAGCAACATGTTTTTTCGAATTAACAGACATTAAGTAGTTAAATTAAACCCAAACAGGCAAGCCCTAATAAGCGTATATATATATATATATATATATCATTACATAATTAGGGGATCGTAATTACTTCATCATCAGAGATGATTAAGGAGTTACGTACCTAATAAAGGGAAATAATTACAGCTTACATAGGGAGACTAATCAAACACTGCATAATCAAGTAACCAGCTATATATAATCATATAATTAATTAAGTATATATCTTCGAGACGCGTATAAGGACCGGGGATTTAATCCGGTGGGACGCCGGTGAAAGAGCTGAGGCTGAGCTCGAGAGAAGCACAAGGTCCTCTTCCCACGTGGCTGCGACGGTCACCGTTCGATTGACCGGACGTCCAGATCAATCCTCCGCCGTTGATGTGATCTTCGCCGCGCATGGGGAAGAGAGGGAGGGTCCTTCGGTGTTGCAGATACGCATCTCCATCTTCGTGATCTCCATCCTCGTCGTCTTCCATGTCTTCGTCTTCTTCGTGATTATCAGATTGATCAGGACAGAACAGGGAAGACTTTGGTCTGTTGAAGAAGTTGTAAGGAGGTGAAGAGTAGTATTGGTGATGATTATGATCCATGTTGAACCAGTTGTAGTTCATGCTTCCTCCGCCATTGATGCCGCTGCTTCCTCCCGTAGGCGATATCGAACAGTCCTGTGTTCATAATCGCCATTATTATAACAATACAGTGATCGATGATGATGATGATGATGCACAAAAATGAAACTTATAAAAATGATATTGATTTATGAATCATTCACGAATTCATAAGTTTATATAAGCACATATATATACTCATCTCATAAGGGCAAAGACATCGCAGCCATTAATATATATCCACTAGATCGCCACGAGTTTATACTTAGTATACGTACCTTATATGATCATCGGTCTACATGCAAATTAATACTTGTAAGAGGTGTATATTTCATATGACGCTATATATCATGAAAAAAAATTGAAGATCCATATAATTCGTTTGTTTAAAATAAAGTTTTTGTGGGAGTGAATGTTCATGAAATTCTTAAGTAGGATTTTAATAACATGTACTTCCTCTCGAATGAGACGTACCACAGATCCATAGGCATGGCTACTCATGTAGCCATTAGAAGCATTAACCGCGCAGTCAGAACCAGAACTTGCATGATAGTGATTACCTTCAGAGAATAATAAACCAAGAAAACCATATATATTAATTAGTGAAAACGCCCACACTGATAACAAAATTTAAGGTGAAGACGAATAAAAAACATGTATATAATATAAGTTTCTCCCTAATATATTTTGTTTCAAGACTATATATATCATGCACGTGTATGTGTTTCTAGTCTCCGTTACACATCAAAGAAACTGTTTCAATGTGTAACTTTTTGTTTACCCAAATCAAGATCCCTAACCTGATATGTGTCTGTATATGCGTGCGTGTGTGGGTACATGATCGATTAAAATCATCATGATGAGAACAAAACAAATGAATAAAAAAGATCACCATTGCCAAAGCTGGGGAATTTGTTCTGAGGAAAGAGATGATCTTGATCAACTTTCGCGGGAGTAATGCCGTTGAGGGAGTCGTTGTTGCTGCTGTGATGATGATGATGATGATACCCAGAAGAAGCTCGTTGCATGGGGATGCCATGATGATGATGATTAAGAAGAAGTTGATGATGGTTGTGGTTAAGATGGTGGTGATGATCACTCGCCGTATTGAGAGAGGTAGGAGTGGCAGTAGTGCCATTGAAGCGCTTCTTCTGACGCTCACGGGCCTTGTGGTTCTGGAACCAGTAAAAGACGTTTTTACCCTCGATCTTGCCGTACTGCCGGAGGCGGGCGGAGATCTTCTGGATCTGGTCGGCCGTAGGAGACCGTACGCCGCTGTTGTAGTAAAGGTCCTTGAGGATCCTGATCTGGTCCGTCGTCGGAGTCCACCTCGTGCTCGTCTGCCTACTCGCGAACCCTCCTCCGTTCTTGCCGCTGCTGTTGTTGTTTCCGCTCTCTTGGTCGGCTTGTTGCTGCTGCTGCGTTGGTTCCATTTCGTTCTTCAATGACATATGAAAGAAGATCAAATATCATAGGAAGAACAAGACCGAGAGAGAGAGAGAGAGAGAGAGAGAGAGAGAGAGAGAGAGAGAGAG